AATGATATTGTAGTGAGTGCGCAGGCGAGCTGGTGGAAATTAACCATTCTGATTTTAGCCTGAGACTGAGGCAGAAAAAGAGGAAGTTTCAAAGTAGAAGAAAAAGGAACAGTCGAGGATACGTCTCTAACACAGCTAAAGACAAGTTTATTCGGTCACCCTCTTGTATACACTCCACAATCTTCACCACAGAACCTTCTTGGAGGTCGCGAAGGTTCTGTGGTGAAGATTGTGGAGTGTATATAAGAGGGTGACCGAATAAACTTGTCTTTAGCTGTGTTAGAGACGTATCCTCGACTGTTCCTTTTTCTTCTACTTTGAAACTTCCTCTTTTTCTGCCTCAGTCTCAGGCTAACATCAGAATGGAAGAAAACAATTTTTTTTTATGTCTGGTTGGGACACCCGTGTCAAAAAAAAATGTATTTTCATTTTAGGAGCAATATTGACGGCGCGAGATTTATTTTAGTTGCGTCTGAATTATGCGCGCAAAGTCCCTTACGTCACGGAATGGTCATAGTGGGGAATTGTAGTAGACCGTTTCCGCAGCCCGCTAAGCACCCGGATAGCGCTCCGTAATCCGCCACAAGACCTTGAACTATGCAGTCAAAGCTGGCGGCGCGCATGCGCAGCTTCGGCGTTTTCTTAACGAAAACCGTAGCTGCCCTATTCTGTTTCCCCATCAACGAGATGGTCATAAACTCCCTCCACCTCAACGCGATGGCCACAGCTTCTGTCGTCCACGCGCCCGTAATGCCGAGAGAAACCAGATGGAAAGGATATGATTACCGACTAAATAGTTTTTTTTTTTTTTTTTTTTTTCAGGTTTGCACGTATGAATTCTAGGAGGGTATTGCCGTCGAGTCAACTCTAGGGCCTTAGTCAACTCGGATTTCAGCGCTATCAAATACTCGGCGGTCCTTTGCAAATTGTGCAAGCTAACCATGCCGATACCATCGGGACGATCGGAACGCCCCTTTTCGTGGTCGCCCCGCAATTACGTGAATTCTTGAATTCGAACAACGCTGGGTTTTACCGGAAAGGGGCACTGGACATGAAGTGCCCTTTCTCCCAAAATGCAACGGCATGTGGTCCACAAGTGTAGTCGTTCATTTCCTGCTATGTTGTCGAGGTTAGCATTGCTTCCATGGTGCCACAGCTTCGCACTGCTGAGAGAGCATGTGGTTTCCTCTTTCATTTACGCGCGATCTCTCGTGACGGGCAACCCAAAGAACGTCCCAGTATATTTTCACGACAGGCAAATCTCTGTTGGGATGTGATGGCTAACCAAGTATTCAAAAAGTTAATTAGGGACTTTTCTATAACTAATTTGCTAATTATCACTAGACACTGTTGATAACATTATCCTGAAGGAATCGATGCTTTATTTGAAGTACCCTTTTTCAAAACATTCATTCTCAGTAGAAATTATTACGGGGTCCAGTTTTGTACTTTGAATCATACCAAAATATAGGGTTATAAAGAATATGCAGTCAGGTGCGATTGTTCTTAAGAATGAGCCGGAGTCGGGAACATCTTTAAACATTTTATAACATCAACATCAAAAGGCAAACAGAATATACATTCGACAGTGACTTTAGGCAATACACATAGTGCAGATAAACTCGTCACCGCCATAAAAAGACCGAGAAATGTATCCCGTTGTTACAGAGTCATTGTTGCAATGAAAAACGTTAAAATGACAACTTTTTTGCCTATGAAAAACACTAAAACATCAGAAACAAGCAGTCGGGAGTAAGCCTTTTATGGTAATCAAAGAGAAGTTCATGAGGTGGCCTTATGGCTGCAGTTATTACTCGCTTTAGTCATCTGGGCACATTTCGTGACTAAGGAGCAAGCCACACGCTTTTTGTCGGAACTCGCACATGATTGCCACCTTGCCCATGAGCACAAGTCTGCCTGTGCACTGCAAATCGCACGAAAGGTTCACAATGTATGACAAACTCCGAGAACGTTGTCGGCACCTCTGCCCTATCCAAGGCCGCTTTCCCTATGGTTCTGGTAAAAACAACACCACGGGATTCCCATGGGAACTTTGATTTCACGGAAATCAAAATTACATTATGTTTTTAATGACTGTCTGAGGTCAGCAAAGCTGTCGACAAGTTATTGTGATCCTAAAATAAGAATAACCCTGTGAATGCAAGTGTAAAAACAAAGTAGTTACAACCCACACAACAGGCGAATTTCACGGAAATTCAGAAAATGCCTCGTCAAGGTTTGACTACTCCATTGCACGAGGTCCGCTGTCTTGCGGACAGGTACCAACTTAAAAATAACCTTTTTGGTGCATTTTCACCATTCTTCAGCACTGGCGATGAAGCCAGAGAAGATTCAAAGTACCCGTCTTACATTTAACAAGCAACAGGAATTCAGAAGTATACACGGAAGTCTACTGACAATATAAAAATTAGATTAGAAATTTGATGACACCCAAACAATGTTTTCGCTATACAAACTTTTCTGGGACTACATGCTCCTCGCAGGTCATGGCCAGCTTACCCGAAAACGTAAGGGTGCAATGAGCCGTGTCTCTGTGGCTAGTAGTCTGTGTGCTGGAGCATACGCTTCTATTCGAGATGTATGTAAGCTTGTGGCTCCCATGAAAAGCTGACGGAAGCTTTCTCAAGTCTGTTCTGAAATTAGATTCCTTAATTACCTTATTATCGATCAGAGGCCCGATTATCAAAACATCGCAAGAACCCTATATGCAGCAAAGTGTCATTCAACAGGTGAAAACATGATTCCAACTGCTCCCCCATACTCATACCCAAAACAGTGTACAGGTAATAAAAGAACTGATTGTGTAGAAGAAATCTGCGCTCTGCTATCTTGTGCTGGGACAAAAGTGAAACAATGCTTACTGTGAAAACACTGCAACAATGTGTGTTTGTACCTACAACTTGTCAAATGCAAGCTTCCAGCAAGCTCAAAAAAGTATGAACATCCACATAGAGTGCAATCCACTTATAACGATACTGAGAAAACACGAAAGTTCAATCGTTATAACCGATTATCATTGCATCTGGACTAGAAACTGACCGTTTCTAGTCTAGAAACTCTAGAAACTGACCATTATAAGCAGTACATTGTTATGTGTGGTATCGTTACAAGTGGATTGCACTGTACACAGATACATTAGGGATCCTGTTCTGCACTGCAGAAGTTATCCACACCCACGACCAATACGAATTCATGCAGGCAATGAACTTGGGCCTCCAACCCGCTGCAGTGAACACCTAGTTGTTTTTTTTTAAATAGCCTACGGTTACAAGTGGACTCCCTGTTTGTGCCAAGCTTGGTTCGGCAGCAGAAGACAGCCAGTACCACACACCACCATGGATCATTCCGAGGACCGCAAAAGATGTCCAATTCTGAATCACCGGCCCAGAAGCATTCATCAGTGCAAATAACCGATTGTTCAGTAAAATGCAGATTCATGGACAATACAAGTTTTGTACAGGTGTTACCACTGCACATATGTTCGAAGAAAGAAAGCATTCAACAGACGCCCTCTGTAAACCAAGCCAACCAGAATCTAACGGGATGTCTTCTTTGTGTGTGGTAAGGAGGTTAACATCAAAAGATGCATTTTGCTTTCCAGCACTATCGTGTGCGGGCACTAAGGAAAACAAATACCTCCGAAGTAAAAGCTGTTTAGTAAAGTAAGTGTACGCCACTGTAGTCGTTAAGGCCAATGATCTCAGTGCGTGCCCCCCTCTACAGCAATGCTGTCGAGTGTTTGACCTGTAGAGGTTGACCATTCCTGCTGATAAGTGCTGCTGAGCAGCTGACCACAACAACCAGACCCCTACCTTGCAAAAACACCTGCACAGCTGGCAAAGAATTAAGTTTGTTTTCAAGCTGGCTTCCAGCAATAACTCCCAAGACAAATTAATCCCCCCATCGTCAGAGATTGGTATATGTAACAAAAAAACAAGCATGTTTCTCGAATTGCCAAGATGTCTCCGAGTTGACACGGGCTAACAAGAGACCAGTCGTACGGCAAGTTTGTCCGTTGCACAATGGACTTGAGATGCCCCAAAGCAATTGGCACCTGTCCCCTTCATCTCAATAAATTAATTTTGTTCTTTGCTCAATGTCATAGGCCAAAAAAAAAAGAAAGAAAAAACAGATCAATTGTATTAGCTGCACACCGAGATGCCAGACCCTTCAATGCTTTCCCTGCCGTTTGCGTTTCCAAGATGGCAGTATGGGACAGCCCCTATCAAGATAGACAAAGATATGCGTGGCTGGCAACCTCCCTTTCCTATATTTCAATGCAGTCCCCATGGGGAAACATGGGATATGGCCCGTTTGTCACTTGTCCGCTCATCAAAGCCGTATTGAAAACGAGGCAGCTTGTTATAGCAAAACACTCATCACAGGGAAATTCATCACAGGGCACTGGTCACTGGAAACACGATACCCAGATGCAAAAAACATCTCCCGTTTCTGTGATGCATTTGCTTTGTATCGATAAGGCAATGTCACAAAGTTCTTATCAACTCAATGGAAAACCAGCAAAGATATACATGATGACTGAAACCTGAGACTGTGGCTCGAAAAACGGAAACTCGCGAAGTAGGGAGAAAAAGGGGCAGACAACGTCTCAGATGACAACTAAAGGCCCGTTCACACTCTTGCGACGGAGTACGACTGAGAGAGACGAGATCTCTTACAACTTCTTAAATGTTTCTAGAATGAGGGAACACACTGACATTGTGGCGCCATCTATGCGGTGACCCTAGAACTGCATTCCACAAAAGCGAAGGTTTTGCGGGATTTCCGAGGTCAAATGTGTGTAATACCCATAGAAAGGCTCGTTTATAACATTGACAAAAGTTTTTCGAGCCAAAAAAGAAAGGATATTGCGCGAGAAATAAAAAAAAATATGCCGGACCGCCGAGTTTACACTGCTTCCCAATAGATGGCGCCAGTGTGTTCTCTGGTTTAAGAAGTTTTAAGGAACCCAGGTTTAAGAGGTCGCAAGCAGTCGCAAGAGTGTGAACGGGCCTTAACAGTCTAAGTTGCACAAAACAAAAAAAAAGTGAAAAAATACATTAAGCATGTCCAGTCAAAAAGCTTACGCTCATTAAAAGTATGTGAAAACAAAGGCCAGACGAAAGACGCCCAAAATGCTGAGAAAAAGAATCCCAAAGAACAAGAAAAATCCACATTATTTTCACAACTGCCTGTCAAAACATTTTGCTTGTCCGTATGGCTTTCATTACCAAATGCTTCCGTGGACGTTTGACATTGTCCAACATTGCTCGTGTACCTTTAGAAACATTCCTTAGTCCATCCTTCGGATGGGTTCGTTGTCTTGCACCAGTCCAGGGATTTTTTTCAGTTGCTCTTACTCAGGACGCTGGGTGTCACATAATTATAAAAGAGATCCTGCTTAGCTTCTGATAACGACCTCAATCGCAAAATGAAGGCGGTCACTAACGACATCATATGGCTTCTGTAGGGAGAAAATAAAAATATTACAAAAAAGTAAAAAAAAAAAAAGTTATAAGATATAGATGAGGCCTGTTGGTTGCAAGTCCCTATGCCCCTTTTCAGCGTTTACCACTGCAGCCAAAGGTGCTGAGCCATTGGGCTGGGATATTCCGCACACGACGCTACTGCGCTTGATCAGAACGCATTCTACAGCCCAGCAAACAGAGATGGCAGCGCACAGAAGGTGGTAACTGGAACGGTCTATACGCGTCTTACTTGAACCAAATGATGGAGTTTACCTCCAACGAACCGTCCCATGTGACCAGATGGCCTATGATGAATCCACACATGACTAACAGGTCAGCTATCTATACCCCACCCCTCATAAAAAGATACAAACTTACCGGGAGCCTAGCTTTACATTATATGCCGGTTACGCTAAGATACCACAAAAAGCAATCGCGTTTCACGCCCGTCATCAACGGTCAGAAGCTACTTTTAAATTGGCCGGTAAAATCGACCCTCGCCTGTAAGAACTACACTATGTGTTTAGAAGCACAGGTGACTGGCACAGATAATCATCTTGATAACAACTGGAGAGGGAAAGGCCCTATAAAATTGTGATACTGCCCAGAAGGGAACAAGAGGACTACAAAAGAAAACGGAAAGATGTTCAAGGCAACGGCAAAATCACGCGTGGAATATACCCTCTGTAACATTGTACGCTATGCAGAGATGCAGCCATAAAAACGCCGCCATTTTCGGCCCTACAGATCATAGCCTCAACGACGTACTTTGCTTCTTAGATGGCTTCAGTTCATCATAAATAAAATGAAGCACTGTTTGCATCCAAGTGGCAAGGGTACCAAGAGAACCAGCGACAAAAAAAGCTTAAAAAGTATATGACGGGCAGGAATCCATTTTTGTTGTAGTGGCTCAATAAAGATTAAGACACACATTAAAAAAAAAGTATCTTAATCCTACGAATAAAATCGGGATAACAAAAATGTGCAGTGAAGGACACATATTTCTTTCCTTATAATTATTACATTATTAATTAGCGATAACTAATCAGCCGGACTTACTAAATTTAGTGCCATGGTTTTTCATAACGCCCTTTAGTAACATTATGCTCATCTTACGGAAAACGGCCCTATAACACCGTGTTTACAACGGAATACCAATGCTGTAAGAGCCAATTTATGATGCCCACACCGCTGAGAACTATGATTTTTAAGAATCAGCATTTGTAAGAAATTCTCGGAAACCGTCATTCTCGGCGATGGGAGTTCAAAATTCAAAGGGCACTTACGATATAGATATTGCATTGTTTTCTACCACACTGTCACAATTATTCTTTTTTAATGGATGAAGAATTTATTTAGCCTATAAGGAAAACTTTGGTTTTCGCCTGTCAGAACCCCCTTGAGACGACTTCTCTCGAGAAGGTAAATGCCAAAAGAGTCAATATTTTTTTAATGCGTCATGACTACAACTGACGCATTACCCCAGAATAGTTTGTCTACAACTTGCCACAAGAAAAGCCCGCAAGGCCAGGTCAAGTGGGACGAGTGGTCTGATGTGTACACCCTTCCCTTCCTGCTGGAATTTAATGTCAGCATCTTCCAAGCAAAAGGAACACACAACTGTGCCCTTTTCTGAAATGCCACCTTCCCATGCAAAAGGTTAAAAAGCACAAACAAAACGAGGAAAGTGAAGACACAAAGACGACAGGGTAGGTGCTTCGTGTCTTCACTGTCCTAGTTCTGTTCACGCTTTTTAACCTTTTCCAGTATAGACAGACTAGCCCAAATCCAAGTTTTAATTACATCTTTCCGCTGCAAGTAGTTTGTTTCACCAAGAGAAACGAGCTGAGGTGCAATTTATGCCCAATATATCTCAGGGACTACGTTCAAATGCACCCTAACTGAGAAGTGTCAAAACCTCTAGAGTTCTACTGGAGTGCAAAGACAGTCCAGTTGGCCTCCCCGCAGGCAGGCCATCTCTTCCCTGACCCAAGGTTCCAACCCCATCCAGCGGAGAAAAGTGCGTACGAGAATGCACACAAAAACCTATGCACGAGACAACAGTTCCTCACCGAAACACTAGTACAACGCTGCCACAGGCAACAAAGGCTGCACACTTACAAAGAAAGCTATATAGTGAAGCACTGCCCATTAATAATAGGTGACGTGCAAGGAAATAACAAATGTTACGAGAATATCTCGTTTGTCTCCTTTCGTCCATTGTAGAATACACTACGCCTCAATGCAAACACGGAAATGGCTATGCATAGCACATCCCTTGGCAACTCCTTTGAGTCAAGGTAATTCCATCCCCAAAGGGGCAAAAGTGCTTTCTCCCAGATGCGAAGAGGTCATCGGCAAGGCTTTCTCGTTGGCTAAAGCGGTGCTGGAAAGCGTCTGCTCAGTCGTGAAACGCTAAGCCCGGTAGTGCCAACTGTAAGCTTTTGACGTAATGGGGGAGGAGGGATCAGCCCTCCAACTGTCCCCCAGTCGTCATGTTCAAAATGCAGTGCTATCTAGCACAGGTGAAGATTCTCAGAGCCAGCTAAAGCCAGACTCGAGAATGCTTCTAAATGGTCATATGGCGCAATCAACACTAGTATAGGTTATCCACTAAGCTCCTGATGCAGCCATGTCGTTAAGTAGTGTAACAAAGCGGCCGAATCAATCAGCCTAGTAGGATGCTGAGGTCGGTTTTTCGTAGACATTTCTAACCATTCTTCGCCCAATGCATTTACACGAGCCCTGACCTAATATTGCTCGGCACGAAGCCAACCGCGCAGTGCAAAGACAACACGGTAGTATCCAAGCTCAAACTACCATGGGAGTCTCAGCTCGGAAAGTGTTAGATAGAAGCTCGGAGTTGTTATTGTTGCAGCTCAGATCAATGCCCCTTCCATTCCTTACATTGTCGAGATAAACAGCACCGCGAGAACTCGAAACATTGAAAAAAACCAAATAACTAGACCGAGTGCTCTCAAACACGCTGCTATGCGGAGCTAGCTGGGAACGAGTTGGAAGGTGACAGGATTCCAAGCTGGAGCAACATAGCCGAGGGTCATCTAAGCAGGCTTGCACATGGTCCTTGCTGAACGTCTCGATCCCGCCATGGTTCATTGTAGTCCGTGGTGGGTCCATGGTAAGTCTGCGGTCAGCAAACTTCCTGCCAACAAAAGGCAGACAGTGTCAGGGGCCACGTCCTTCAGTAAGAAAGTGCAAATACCGTAAGGCGGTATTTGCGTTGGGTCAAATTCAATTTGAATTCACAGACAAAAGAAAATCCCAAGTGCCAGAAGGTGAAATGTGTCAAAAACTTGATGTGATTTTGTCTCAACTTTGGACGTTTTTTCAAAAGTAGTGGCTTTACTCAAACGACCAATATATTTTTACACTGCAGAAAATGTTACGAACCACGTTTTATCAATAATAGTGATTTTTAGGTTTTATAGTTATTATCATATAAAATAGTGACCTTGCTACCTAGAGTAATTTTGCCTCCAATCTGAATTGCTCCGGTAAGCAAACCGTCAAAGGGCACTGCAACAATTTCAACTTCGAAAAAATTTGCAGTTCTTAGTTTTTACATTGTTTACTTTACCAAAAGGGATAGAAAAACCGCCTCATTCCTTTGAAATATCACAATTCCGTTGCATAATAGCGAAGCAAAGAACTGAAATATTTTGCGATTTGCAGCTGCGTTGAGCTCGTCTATTTTAATGAGTGCGAGTTATTCTGCGTTTGCCGAGGTGTATAGACGAAGGTCTCCTCAACCGATCTAGTTTGCAGCAAACAACCGTCGCAAGTACACGCCCTTGGAAGCGCTCCTGGAGCTGCGTGGGTGTCTGGGTTCGTAGCGGGTGGCAGCAAGACTGGCCTCAACCTGGCATCCCACTTGAACTACAATGACAATAATAATCGTCATCGTAGTTAGAAAAAAAACCTGCCTGGTCCTGGTATCGAATCAGGGACCTCTCCATTTCCAGTGGAGCACTCTATCAGCTGAGCTAACCAACCAGGAGTCGGACGTCAGATAGAGAGCTCCCCTGTTCGATACCAGGACCAGGCGGATTTTTTTTGTTGCACACCTGTCACCTAGCTGTGCTTGGAGATTTGTGTTGGTCCTTCGTGCCTTACCCCTCTTTCCCACCTTTTTTCCTCCTTAACCCTTTAACCACCAAGTTATTTTTTAAAAAAATGTACAAACTTTCCAAACTTTGTTATTTGCACATATTTTTTATTGTTGTTCTGATTTTGCAAGTACATTACTTGATTGGTTTCTGATTGGTATTAACACAAAACTTTCAAAAGAAAAAGTTGATTTTTATGGAAGCTTTCCCTCAGTGCATGTAAGAGTAATAGAATAACACATGCTGAAATACGCAGCAGATAAAGTATTTTACTCAGTTTACACGCCATAATGTATAACAGGGGTTCTCAAACTTCTTGGTTCACGGAACCCCAGGAAGCCTCAAAAACTGTTGCGGAACCCTCCTCCTCCTCCTCCCCCCTCCTTTCCCCCCCCCCAATCCGCCCTCCATATGCCGACCGAGAAGCAACAGATGCACAATTGTAGGCAATTTTGCTTGTGTTGCTTCCCATATATCCTCACCATATCAATCGCAATGTCAGTACAAAGTGAAATGAAGGCGCTTTGCATGGTCCTGCCATGCAGCCTGCAGCGTGGGGGGTTTGCAACTTGGGTGTTCGCGGAACCCATGAGACCAGCTCATGGAACCCGTGTTCCCCAGAACCCAGTTTGAGAACCCCTGATGTATAAAAACAAAGTCGCCTTTCTGCCTTACCAGCGTAGCAAAGGCGATAGTAACACAGAATGTGATGTGTTAGTGCAGAGAAACTGCATACACATGTGGAGACTGGATGGCGCAAAGCGGCCCTGTGTCGTGCGAGGTAAGCGCTCCATGGATGTCGTACTTGTAGGTACCATCTTGTGCGGTTGCAGTATAAATGAGACTTTCTCAGAGACTGTTGGAGTGTGAGACGCAATAGACGGAGCGCGTGGAAAAAAAAACATTTTGAATGCGGCAGCACGGGGCGGAGCCCTGGCGCCGACTCGCAGCAAAAGAGAACCAAACGTTCTAACTGTACCTCGGCCCATCGCGGCAAAGTGAACGCTCGCTTTCTCTTTTTTTCTGCCGTCCTCTCTCTCTAGTTTTCTCTGGGGAAGCCCGGGGCACGCTTGTTTCACGGAGCGGAGCGTCACTGTGTGTCTAACACGGGATGTTTTACACCCGCCGGGAGCTACACGGAGGCACTCAAAGAGGCACTCAGAAGAGTTCGGCTGGCACTGCTGTCCAATCAGTGGGGAGGCGAGCGCTGCGTCAGCGTTCAGCTCGCAGTCAGCCCGTCGACTTCCCTTGCTGGCAGTTAACTGGATGTGGTTAGGTGCCATTCATATAAAACATTCTGCGTTAAAACAAAATAGTTTCATAAACACAAAATTTTGTTTTTTATTCCGATTTTCAATCCCCATGCTCCAAGCCAGTGGTTCTCAAATGGGGGTCCGCCCTTTGGGGTCCGTGAAGGCATTCTAGGGGTATGCGAAGCACTGCCTCATCAGTCAAGCTCGGCAATAAAAGTCAGATTCAAAAGAAACATTCCAATTTTCGGGCAAGTTTTCTCGTGTGTGTGGCAATGAGAGAAGTCTACTTCACAGTAGCCCATAGTTATATTCATTTACTAAATAATTATAAAAATTAACCCATAACTTTTCCTTCCTCTCATCACACACGGGGTTCCCCATCATCTCCGCCGATCCACAAATACCCGTGAAACATCAATGGTTGAAAACCACTGCTCTAACCGACGTGGTTCTCAAATGGGGGTCTGCAGACCTTTTGGGGTCCCTGAAGGCATTTCTGAGGCCCTCATACCCTTCACCACCGGTTCAAGCCGGGCAATGTAACACTTTTATTTTTTTATGCTGGCTGTCCGACAATACTAAGTGGACCAAACAATGTGTGCCAGGTCAATGGGCTGATCATTCCCCATTTTGGAGCTTCAAAGGGTTTACACATATCCACTTTTCTTCATTTACCCCTTCGTTGCTAAACTTCTTAATACTCCCCCCCCTCTGCCTCCTGGCAGATGGAGTCAAAAGGCTCCCTCCCCAAAACATCAGTGGTTGAGAACCACTGCTCTAAGTTATGCACTAATGTAGGCTACGTCAACTGTCATCCGTACATTTGTCCTAAAAAACAAGAAAATTGTCTCGCTGCCAATCACTGCTTCAACACCCCTGCTAGTTCAGCTTTTCTTTGTGCTATGTCTATGAGGGTACACGCCGAATGGTTGGCCTACGCGAGCAAACTCATGTCAGCACGTCGGCTTTCTTTCTTGCGTCTCACCGTGTTAGTGCAGCGGTTCGTTTCAAGCAGATGCTCGTGAGCAGCCACCTTCGTCTGCTCAGGGTTCCCAGGGCTCGTCCTTCTCGAGCTCTTGCAGCCAGTGCTGCTCCATCTGCTCTATGTCCTCCTGCACAAGGACATTGCACAAGGGTGTCGGGAAAAGGACGCTGGCCAGAAACGAGGCTTCGTGACAGTAGTGATGACGACGATTCGGGGTTTACGATGCAACGGCTTCATTGGCTCCCTCACTAAATTCAGAACACTAGTCGGGCTCAGCCGTCTCATGCACCTATGGCACTCACTAAATCTGTCATTCTAGCAACTAGTAGTCTATGACCAGGGTTCTGTGTTATCGGGGTTTATTTTCCTTTGAATTTGGTTTTTTTTTAGTTTACTTTTTGCACCAGATGTAGTGTTCATTGGTGTAAATTTTTGGTGTCGAACCAAAAATCAGTGTTTATTGGGCCTTATGTTCAAGAAACAGAACATGAGCACGGAATACCCCGACCTCCAGAGAACCTGCTCGGGCCCAGAATACTTGGAAAATGTTCCAGTATGAATAAAAGAAAAAACGAGATAAGGGGTCTAAGTTTCTGAAGAAAAAAGGAGTCTCGCTAACAATTCAATGTGGGTGTGTTTGAGGTAAACACAAAATGAAGTAGTAGTTGAAGATTTTTTTCCGGAGAAGCTTGGTCTTTTCTCAGGAAAGAAAAGCTCCATTGCGAAGTTTTTTGGATCTACCAGATTTTGAAAAGAAACGGCTCGGGGCCAAATTTTCGGGGTTTATCGATATTCACTGAAAGCATGAAACCCCATCTATGACCCATGGACCTTTTTCGTCGGCTCTTGTCCCCATACACCTGATCCTGGTGTACGATTCGTGCACCTTAACGTGTAAAGTTATTTTCGGAAAAGCTTGTTTTAGGCAAGCATTAAAAAAAAAAACGACAGGCAAGGCTTACGTCTTCTGAGCGGAATCAGGTGGAACGCCGGGGTCACGCCACATCAACATCTCTCTTGCGGCTTTTATACATTCTAGTTCGGATACCCGCGCCGACGGGCAAACTGGCCCACCCCACCTCACGGACCCCCTGGGCGGCCCTTGCAGAGCCCCCCCCCGCCCACCTGCTGCCGGGGCGTCTGCTCCAGCTGCTCCAGCATCCAGGGCCCCACCGAGGTGGGCACCTGAGGCCGCTCCTGCCGCTGCTGCAGCTGCAGCTTGCACAGCCCCAGCTCCCCCAGGTCGTCCTCGCACTGCACACCGCCACGGACACACGCTGCAACCGACCGCTGGCCGACACGCTCCATGTGGGCCAATCGACGAGGGCCCCCATGGTTGGCGACAAATTAAAAACCCAGTAGACACCCCACCTTGAGCGCATACCGTATTTGCACGAATATAACGCGAGTTTTTTTCCGAAATTACGTGCTCCAAAACACACCTCGCGTTATATTCGGAATCGAGTTCAGCCACGAGGCGCGCGAGTCTGGTGAAAGCCAGAGGAGAAAGTCACCCCTCCGGCTCAATGCAAAAGATCCAATGGAAGAAGAAGTGGGGGTGTGGAGGGGCATTTTCTATCCATTGGGCCACGTGAAGGGACGAATAGAAAACATAAAAAAGCATTTTTACCGCTTTTGTGTTTTTACAACGCGCGCACGCTGCACGCGCGCGCGTCATGCGGGAATGCGGGCACCGGCCAATTCGAGCCAAGCCAAGCCGGGCCAAGTCAAATCAACACAAGCCAAGCCAAGACCACCGACCGCGTTTACGCAATCATGCGACACGAGGCATTTGTTTACGAAGAGGGACCAGAACAAGAAGTGTGATCGTGTATCGGGTTCAGCAGTCTTTTTTCTGCCAGCGCATTGTTTAGTTTCTGCTCCAGAGTGGTCTGGTGTTTGTGTGTTGGTGCTTCTGCTTCCGCGCCTTGTTTGGATTGTGGGCTGCCGAGGAGCTCCCACGGAACAAAAAAGAACTACCAGACAAGCAGGTGCCGTGCTGTTGCATACCTGCGTAGTCGCCAAATGGATTGTAAACGGAAGGACCTGAGCAGTGAGGATGAGTGCAGTCAAAACCTAAACTGATATTTCTTCCATTTCCATTGACTTTTCACTTCTGCTATGCCCCCGAGTGCGAGAAATTGACGCGGCATCGGTTCGCGTTATAATAGTAATAATATTTTTTTTCTTTTTGGGGGCATCAAAAACTGCCCTCGCGTTATATTCGTGGTCGCGTTATATTCGTGCAAATACGGTACTTTCTGCCTCCAAGAACATGTCGCCACACATGCGGTTGGGGCCCGGAAGAACAGAACGAAAGCGTTCTCAAGGTAGGGCGTTTACTTTAAAAAGGGCCCCTGATAACCCCAACATCTATACTTTTTATGGTCTCAAACACTAAAAAAGCGTGTGATAGGGAGTTGCAGTGGATCGCTTTTCTCTTCTGCTACGGTGTCCTAAAAAAAAACGCCGCAGCTGCGCATGCGCACCGCCAGCCTTGTCTGCATGGTGCAATGTCTTGTGGCAGATTACATGGCACTACGCAGGCGCTTAGCGAACTGCGAAAACGGTCTACTTAAACTCCGCTATTGCCCTGCGCATCTCCGAGCAAGCGCGGCCATGATCGAATCGTCATCTTGTTTGGCTCCCACGCAAACGGCCACGGTTCGATGCCCGATAGCGGATGCACCTTTTTGTTATTTCTGTAAATGTCGCGTTTTGGTGAATTCGAGAATCCTGTTGCTTATTCGAGGCTAGAATGTTCCACACGCCGAACCTTCTACGCCGACTGTTCCAGAAGCCCTCGCCTGTACAAAAGGGGCTCTGTGTGGCGAGCCGGGGTCAGTCTTGCCTTAGCGCTCGATTCTGCTGTTTCGCTGACATCGACGCCTATGATGCTAACCTTCTATTTTGTTTTGGACACAAGTTTGCCCCAATAAACACTTTGTTTCTTCAGTTATTTGCCATCTCATCATTTGTCATTTGTAACAATATGACCAAAAAAAAAGTTCTAGCGTGCAAGACAGCGATCAAAGATCGTTAGTCCTCCTCCCGAAAATCGGAAGGGGAGACGCGGATCCTCGCTTCTCGTTTCGGTGACGTAGTTGGCGCAGGCATTTTTCAGAAGTTAACAGCTGTTGTGAGTTGCGCATCTGTAACAATTAATAATGACATTCAACAAATATCTTTCTACGACAATCGTCAATGCACTGTCGCTGACTTAAAAATATAAAAAACTCGGAGACCAGAAGGGAAGTGTTAGTGACGAGGCATCAGTCGTCACCTGGTTTTTTTGGTTTTTTTAATTATTATTATTTCCAATGTGGCGGCACAAGGCAGCCGTGTTGAGGACGCTGAATGGGATGAGGCTGACGGGCAAGTTGGCAAAGGCTTGGACGAGTTGTTTCTTTCAATGTCATGTGACCTCTCGGGCTTAGGGATCACGTTTGGGATATCCATAGCGTAACTCACCAAAGTCGCCAAACCTTTTCAAAAATCCTTTGGCACCCGCTAAGCAGAACAGCACTAAAACAAGAAAGTCTAACTAAAAAGTGATGCGATGTCTGCGTCAGGAGAGAGTTCCTGTGGCAAGCGCACAGTACAGTAAGTGCCTATTGGCCAGCTGGCAGACACGAGCATGTGTGATTACCGTGATCGACAAGAGGAAGAGAGAAAATAAGATGACACTTCCCATTTGAAGTCATCCAAAAAGGCAAGGAGTGCGCCAGTTTACCATTTACGTCGTAGATTAGAACGGAAGTTTCAAATGGGGCTTTTTGAAAATATTTTTTTCCCTGCTGATACGCAGTTCTCAGTCTTAAAATATTTAGGGAGGTCCCCTTCGGAGCAACGACACCTCAGCCATTTTGTCGCATAAAATCAATATTACCGGTTAAAGAAAACTCCATCTGAAATCGCAGTAAACCCTTTGCCGTCGTCCAGAAGTGTCCGCTACGAAGCAAAATGACATCGGCTGAGCTTCCCGACGCTGAAGTCACTGGATTGCAGGAAAGTAGCGACAAGTTCCCCATACAGTCGCCATTTTGGTTCATGGAATGAGCAGTTTGTCCTCGACCTCTCCATCCTTAGTGAGCCGATCATGATTCCCAGTGACAGACTGCTTTATAATGACATTTCCCGAATGCCATGATTTCATAATCCACAAACCGGCAAAACAGGTGCACACCTTCGCACTGCCACCACGTGCGGCGTCTGTGCTTGGCGACACTGAAGAGTTATTTTCCTGTCTTGAAATATGCAAGAACAACGATGCCATTGTAAGAGAGCTGTGGAGATGAGCGTGCTTGATAAGCTGATTGCATGTGCAGTGCCAAAAACGCTCATGTCGGCAAGGAACGCTTTCGGTACGACGATGCTCTAAGGCGATCTTGGAGTGACTGGTTCGGAACGACCCCTTTCAAGCCTCTAAGATTTGAATAGACCGAAATGGTGTTTGCCATGCCAACTGAGATTGACCGGCCTATCACCTTGCGATGTTTGGTCTGTATGTTAGTGCCTGTTTGTGTCCGGCCAGCAGGCAGGGAAGGCAATGGCACTACTTTTTCAGAATCCGGTGACTACCTGACACCATATTCAAAACTCAGGAAGTAATATTCTTTTAAGCATAACTATCGCCGGGCTTTCCAATAGGCGACACAAAGGCAGTGCCCACGAGACATTTGAGGAATGGAGTGTCGGTACCTTAACTTTAGCTTAATGGCTATAAATGAAACCAACAGGGCCTCTGGTATTCTATGACAATGAGGCCATCGGCAGTTGTGGCGGAGGGGCGATGGGCAAGTTTTTATAAGAGGCATACAGGTAGAATGTGAATAACAGAAAAGGTATGAGAGCATTGCATGTTTGTGACACGTAAAAAGAAAATCGCTAATTTTTTCTAAGAGGAAACATAATTTTCTAAAATGTTATAAAGAAGCTGACAAAATGTCATCCAAAGAAACTTCAGTCTTGGGAACTGGGAGGAAACAGGCAGGCATGCCAACTGAACCAATAGGACATGCAGATGCAGAAAAGCTGGTGAATTGTAACCTACATCCATCAAGGTATACTTAACCAGCTACAGGCATGTTTCAGCATTCCCTCCTAATCTGCCAAATTTAAAATCTTAGCATATTCACTACTAATAGCCGATTCACACGACGGGCCGAATTGCAATTTTCGTCCGCGGACCATGTATCATGTGATTGGCACGTCACCGATTCCTGCGATACACTCCTCGTCCGCGGACGCGCAGACTGATAAAGTCGAGCGCTTTTTTCCACTCGCGGGTTTTTGGCGGGAGATTGACTTGAAAAGCGTTTAGTCTGGCAACGGTATGTGCTTTTCTTGTTTCTTTTGTTTCTGGATGATTAAACAAAAATGGCAAATCGTTCTGTTTTGTGCATTCGCTGGTTCATTTTGTGGCACGATTCTTGGTTCCATGCGTGAAAGAAACTGCCGAAACTTTGTCCGGCTGACACGACGCAGGTTCCAGTACTCCTCCAGGTACGTGTCAAGAAGCTCCCGTCAAAATTCATCTAGCACGCCTCGATAATTCTTGCACGTCCAATCAGGATTTCACCGAGCAAGACCTCTCTTGGGGCTGTGGTGTACTTGAGTGTAGTGCACAAGCGCGGAATGCGTGAAGGCATTTCCAAACGCACCTCCGCGAGCCCAAAACTTCGTCGCTTCTACGCCAAACCCTTCTCAAGCAGGATGCCTGTTTCACTCATGCTTTGAGTTAGTAAAGCTAGTGACGCTTCAAGCGAAGCCTATCACGGTGTTTAGTCTCAATCTGTAAGTAACAGCGGCGTATGATTCTTTATCGCGGTAGCTAACGTCGATTTCTCTCTTGGACAATGGTGCCACGGTACGATGTTGGAGTTTCGTGACACTGTGGGATGGCGAGCAGGTTCGGTTCATCCCCACTGGCATTGGCTTGTCGTCTCCTTCGTGTGAATGTGCTTGGGAGACGGACGAACCACGGACATATCGTCACGTGATAAATCCGTCTGTGGATCGGCCATAATGGAAAAGAGGAAGAGGGGTCCCGCCAGACGTTGCACGAATCTGATGGGGCAAGCAACGATTCGGCACTTTCCATGTTGCAGATATCTAGTCATAAACGCAGGATAAGCTATCTTTTATGGGTAAGCATTTGTGCGGAACTTTATGCCGTGTCACCCTTTCGACTCACAGGGAGAAGTGAAGGTCTGAAACTCTGTAGTCTAATCAATGGTAGACAGTCGTATACTGTGATCTGCCACGAGCTCTATTTATACCTCCTTTCCGCACTATCGTGAAAACAGAATGTATTGCGCGTTGCTTCGCGGCGATATAACACAGATAAACTTGGTATGCATCTTGTGCCTTTACAGTGCAAGCATAGTCGTGCGCAGCGTCATTGAAAGAAAGCCCCATCAAAGCCAATGCTTCAGCGGGATAGGATTGTCTCTTGCAGATGCAAAGCCCAGGTTTGACCCCGAAATTTCGCTTCTCCCCGTTTCCTTCGAAGTATATGCCTGTCCTCCTCTCCCTAGCCTTTCACAAACACTCCCCGCAGAGGCTTGTTTCTCTCGACTAGGGGGTGCGAGCACGTCAAAAAGACGGAACCGCGTAATGCTGGCACAAACAGACATGCTACCACGCAAGAGCCACGATCGTGCATGAGCTATTGTCAGCATAAACCATCGAACAAAGCGTTTAAAAAAAAAACAATTAAAATTAATGCAACAAGCATGTTTTTTAGATTTTCTTGGTTTTGGCTTATATCGACCAATATGATTGTGCCAGTTCGGCGTCTGTGAGCGGCATGAGCGAACAGTATGACGCACAACCTGGGACGCACTGCTCAAACTTGAGAGCTGCAGACACATACGTACGAGCGTGCTTGCAGCCCCCTGACGCCAGACTTCACTACGCCAAGCAACCGGGTGTTGAGGCGCTTGGGTAATGCTCTGCGAGTATCCGACGGCCGCTTGAATTCGGCTTGATTTGGATTTTAATGAGACGGCCACGGCCAAAAAGTTGCTGTACCGGCCATGACTGGTTGGAGCTCACCTGGGCAATAATCTTCTCCCGGTGCTCGATGCTCTGCTGCACCAGGCGCAGCTCTTGTTGCAGGCGCTCCCGCAAACGTCCGCCACTCTCGGCACCCTGCTGGGAGGGAGGCAGGCCGGCGTCAACAAACAAACAAACGCAAGAGTGTTGCGTTTAGCCCTACACAACCAGGGAGAAAAGATTTACGCGGAATCCCCTCGGTAGGTTACGAGCGATCCAAAAGCACCCCATGCTTGCGCTACCTCCTAGGTCTACGTCCCAAAAGAGCCCTTTCCACCACAAGTAACAGAGGGCATTAGCACACTGCCGCTTGGAAAATTTGTGAGCTGGAAGTTCAGGCTGCCGAACCCAGGGATTCTGGGTTCAATCGCCACTTCTGCTTGTTTCGATTTGGATGAGCATTGTACTGGCGGGCAATCAAGTACCACTACTGTGTGATGCCTGTTAAAGACCCCGGGCTAGCTGTCGTACTGCACTCGCTATATTTCTCATCTACGGCATAAACCAGTGCTGCCACACCTCAAAGGCAGACCGACCTTATGCTGTCTAAACATAAACATCTACAGTAAAACCTCGTTATAACAAAGTTGAAGGAGCGATCGTAATTATTTCGTTATAACCATTAGTTTGTTATAGCCAATGTCCATTTCTTCCCTATTAGCAAGCAAGGGGAATTATGATTGCTTTGTTATATCCATTAGTTTGTTATATCCCATTTTGTTATAACGAGGTTTTACTGTAATGTGCTTTTTATTTCGGTAGTTTCGATGACAGCCCTTTATTTCTCAGAAGAAATAAAGGGCTGCTTGTTTGTGCCAACAGTGTTGCCCTACTGCGCTGCATACAGCCGTGCCGACCAGCCTCCATATGGGCGACTTATCGGGACGAAATCAATGCCAATGGGCGTGTGCACAGGAGGATTGTATGAACACGACCTCAGATGGTTTGAGGTGTCGCATTCAGAAGGTATCTGGACGAATACCAGAGACAACTGCTGCGCTCGATTTACCCGCACCTTCTGCACCAACCAGGGATTTCCCTAGACCCCCCCCCTAGTTTTCCTGGACACCCCCCCTTGGAATCTAAAAAAAAAAAAAAAAAGGAAAAAATAAAATAAAATTCTTTTTTTCAGATTAAGTAGAAAACACCACCTCTCAGGTGTATATATAGAGCAGGGGTTCTCAAACTGGGTTCCGGGGAACACAGGGGTTCCACGAGCTGGTCTCATGGGTTCCGTGAACACCCAAATTGCAACCCCCTCCCCTCACCCTCCTCTCCTCCTCCCCCCCCCACGCCGCAGGCTGCGCAGCAGGACCATGCAAAGCACCTTCATCTCACTTTGTACTGACATTGCGATTGATATGGTGGGGATATATGGGAAGCGACACAAGCAAAATTGCCTACAATTGTGCATCTGTTGCTTCTCGGTCGGCAAATATGGAGGTCGGGGAGGGTTCCGCGGCAGTCTTTGAGGCTTCCTGGGGTTCCGTGAGACAAAAAAGTTTGAGAACCCCTGATATAGAGAAAGGGAAACATACATTACGGGTATGAGCATTTGGTTAATAGACGTCTGTAATTTAGCTAGTGGACTAAAAAAGAAACAGTTTTATATCTTATCTAGCCTCGCCTCACATCGCCTCCCCCCCCCCCGAGCCATTGGGACACCCCCCCTTGATTAGAATCCTGGGCAAACCCCTGGCACCAACTGCACTCGGTGCACACTGCCATGTACAATTAATGAGTGCAGCCTGTCTGAAAGCGCAACCTGAAGTACATTGCCCTGCACTTGACTGCACCGCGCCACCCATTTCTGCACAGGTGTGGGCAAATTGAACGAGCCAAACGGCAGGTGTGGGACGCCGAGAACGGCCATGGCCGGGCACTCACGCTTCCCAGGGCCTGTGGCAGCAGGGGCCTCAGGGGAGCCAGGAAGCCGCCCGGGGGGCCGCACAGGGGGGCCACGGGCTTCAGCACCAGTGGGGGGTCCACCAGCGACAGCAGGGGCTCGCCCATGGCTGCCGGCACCAGAGCCAGGGGGAGCGCAAAGCCTGTAAGCACGCACACTTGCTCAGAGAATGAGAGAGAGAAGTGGCACATACAGTCAAACACCGATCAAACAAATTTTGAGGGACCTCAAGAAAACGTTTGCTTAAGTGGAAGTCCACTCAACTGAATGCATATGACACAGTGGAGTTTTGCCGAGGAATCATAGAAAAGTTTGTTTCGTGTGAATAGTTTGTTCAAGTGGTATTTCACTGTAAAGCAAGGGACAGTGCATGGACATCCTTCACCGAGCTCCTGGAATGAACGATTCTGCAAACACCAGCGCCACTATTGAGTGCCTTGAAGAACCGTAGGAGCCACGAGAGCTCCCGGAAAGGCTTATCCAGGAGTTCAAAGAAAATAGAAGAAAATTGCATCATGCTCGGCCACCGGAAAATATAAATCGTAACTTTTTCTAACATCAAATAGAGGCCTTACAATACACCTGTGTGTTTTTAAGCTTTGTAGAAGCTGAGATGTCTCGTTTAACCTAAAAGATTCTATACAGAGCTATTCATTTTTCAAATACTCCCATTTTACGCGAAGGTCTAATCAAATAAACTCGTATTCGAACCGACAATCGAATACACTCATATTCAAATCGATAATCGAATATACTCATATTTGAATCAATAATCAAAAACAGATGTATTTAAGTCGATAAACAAAAAGTAAAAATATTAAAACTGGGCACGGCGGAGCAGGCTTAGCTTTGATCCAGCAACCCCGTAGAGGTGCAGTGCTGCATTAGAACAAACGAAGCCATCTCAGTCGCCATTAATGCCTCCAGTAGGGCCGTACACGGGACCTCACAAGGTGGTACAGCGATGAAACGTGTCTCTAACGGTTGTGATTGCCGCTTCTTTGAATGTGGTTCCTCGAATTCCGCCTGACGTCCTGGAGGTGTCATGCTGTTGCCCGCTGCAATCCCGGCGGTGGCTCGGCAGTGGACGTAGGTGTGGCAGACACGTTCTCTGCTGCAGGTCGCTCTCTAGCTCGACAGTTCACGAGGCTCACAGCAGCCGGGAGTTGGGACGTTGTGATGACGGCGATGCACGCATTTGCTCCGACTTTTACCGGAACTTCAACAACCGGCTGCCAAAATCGCGATGTCCGAGAGCGTGACGCGCCGTCTCTTGAGACGTTGGAAAGGGTGTTGGCGTTGATGCATTCATGCTGGCACAGGTATGTGCATTTTTCGTAATTCTTTTGTTTTACCGTTAGGTAGGCAAATTATTCATCAGTGTAACAATTCCACTGTTGTGCCCGAGACTTTTGTTTTCCGTAACAATTCATTTTTTCATGTGAAACGTGAGCTTTGTCTTGTCAGAGAGGGGGGGGGGGGGGGCTCTAGAAACATGTGAAGTCGAAAAGTGAAACCACCAATTAACTCCATGACGATTGGCTGAGCCGAGTGATGACATCACACCCCGATTTCAGACACTGCCACAATTTTGAGTGGGGGGAACAGGCTATTGCAGCAAAAAAAGCATTTGCACCAAGCAAGAATCGAACCCAGACCACTGATATTATTAAGTGAGTGTCTTTCCAGCATGTTACACCACATCGCCGAGAGCTGGGGTATTATCTGGTGGGAAAGCCATGCGGGGCATCCGCCCTGTGCCCGGCAGATAACAACTTGACACCCTGTCACACGTTTTTGAAACCTGAGTCAGTGCCGGTATCTCTATTCGGGGAATTCCTATAGTGTGTATGTGCCACACGTTTAGCCAGTTGTTAAAATAACCGATGAAGAGCGACGAGAGCATAGACGCCACGCATTTCATGTGCAACACAATTGCCCTGCAATTTGCTATGCATTATTTTGTTTGCTTGAAGTGACATGCCGTTTTCCTTTTCAGTGTCCTGTAGGGAAATGCATTCTACTAAACTATCTAATTTATCTAACTGATTGTTACATGGCCAAATTTAGAATAATCATAAACACGCAATGTCGGCGTCTGTTCCGGCCGCTGGTCCCAAGTTGTCTCCGTGCAGTTTCCGTAGTCTGGGGCAGTTCTGTCCTGAATTCTCTCTACCTAGACTCCCCAGTGACCTTGCACTGTATTCTCTTATACCCCTGTGCATAGGGTTACCTCCCGGTGGCATGAACTGGTGAAATCGCGAGGCATTACGAAACCCGACAAGAGAGCGGTATCCGCGGTGCGCTGGTGGGCCACGGGGTTATTATCCAATGTTATACAACCTGAATATTGCCTGGAACTGATACAATAGTGCGGCAAGTACCGCCCACGACGCGACACCTGAATCAGGTATCGTAATCCAATGCTCTCAGGAGCCGATCGAGTCGAGCGGAGAAATGTTTTCTCAAGAGCCTCCGTATGTTGGCGCGTGCACGACCACAGTCCTATTGTTTCCTTTTTGTGTTTTGGAATCGTCGGCTATAGGGGAGCCTGGACCCTCTTTGTTCTTGTCCCTCGTTTGAAGATGTGAAACGAATCAAGATTACTATTGTTACTGTTACCACATCTCGGCCACGTTCAATGCACGGGCCGTAAGGGGTGCCAAGCGCACCGGTTGGCGACGCGTTCCACAGTGGGGGGCCTCACCCTGGGCGTAGAGGGAGGGTGCGGCCGAGGCCGACGGCAGGGGGTGGCGCAGGGCAGCCGTGGGGCTCGTCAGGTCACCCCGCTGGGAGGTCACCTGGATCGGGGCGGGACCCCGCACCAGGGACCGGGCGCAGCGGGAGATAGGCCCGTACTTGGACACCAGCGGGGGGTCGAAGGGCACGAAGGGGTCTTCCTCTGAGGGGCACCTGGAACGCAACGAGGGGAGGCGGACAAACATTAAATTGGCAACAGTCCACAACTCGCTCAATCTTAGTCCAAAGGTTTTGTAACTCGGCATTCGAAAACCAACTCGTGTACGACGTCGCTCTTTATCTGTTTACCGTTTTCTTTAAGCACCCGAGAATGGGTGACAAACATGGAGACGTTGAGACGTTTCCTTCAGCCGTCCTTTTCCTGTTCCTTCCACTTTTATTTCTTCACGTTCGTCACCCAGTCTCAGGCGTTTATAAAAAAAAAGGTAAATTTACACCAGCCCCCCTGCGCCATCACTGTCGCTCTTATCTGTGTTATCACTAGAGTTTCGTGTTTTCAGGGGGAAGGGGGGAGGTTAATTCAGGGCCTTTTTTGTTAATTTGTCTTTAGGGGGTGTAATCTTTTTTTCTCAGGTTCGGTGTTTATTGTGTAAATTGGTTATAACTAGGATTCTGTGGTTTCAGATAAAATCCGAAAAAACACTCGCCGGCAAAATGTTTTCTAAATTCATATTTATTAAAAAAAACTCATTTCAATGTCACAATAGGAAAAAATGAAAAAACATGATATTCTACAAATAAGCTTGGTTAAAGGGATACTACAACGAAATTTCGGCGCTCATTTTTTGGTCTATATGTGTTCAAAAAAGCACCATCAAATTGAACATACCAATATCTTGGTAAAAAAGTCACGAAAAGGAATTTTAAAACAAATTAAACGATTAGCAAAGAGCACCTGGTGGATGTCACTAACCCCTCGCTTGTAATGCCCGTCTAGCAACTTTGGCAGCTAGTGACGGAGGTCGTCTCGCCTCCGGCCACGACGAGAGAAGAGGGGAAGGAGGAACTCCCCTCTACCCGAGAATGCCTTTTGTGTGTCGCAGAAGTCGCTATTGTCCCCCTAAAAGATTATAGAAGATTAACCCGTCACTCAAAATTTGTACAAAAGCAGCCACTTCAGTGGCTGGAACGACTAGGCCATCCTCTCGACGTCAGCCTCGCCGTAGCTTTGCTCGTCTTGAGACGACCTACGTCACGATTGCGTTGGATGTCACGTGCTCTAAGCTGGGCCTTCTCCGAGCGCTGGACAGAGTGGGCCGTTTATAACGAAAAATACAGCCACCAGGCTCAAAATACAAATGTGCGATTGTCATTTACGGATATTGTGGATCATATTCAACCTATTTTTGAACACGACGGGAATATTTCAAATTTCGTTGAAGTATCCCTTTAAAGCACAGGGTCAGAGGTGCTAAGGAGAGGCCTCTCCAGTTTCCTTTCAATAGGCAGCCACTCGACAAAATGGGCTTCCCCATTTATCTCGCCAAGTTTCGTGCAGGACAAAGAGTCATTGTAATTATGGATCCTGACGAAAGCCATTGCACCTGTTTTCAGGTTGCACTTCTCGGAGGAAGGCAGGGTTGTGTTTTTACAATAGGGAAAGCTATGATCCCAGGAGGGAGGAAGCAGCTAAAGGTTCTATCTCGCCACCCCACCCCATGCACCAGCAGGGTGGAGCAGTGGAATGGAACGGAAAGAAAACATATTTTCCAGAGATTATGCCAAGGATTTTAGTGATTGCCAAGTATCAACATTTATTCAATATTTGTTTGCAAGTTTTGTCGTGGGGCAGTTACAGTTAAATGTCGTTAATTCGAACATGTTTAATTCGAACTTTCCGTTTATTTGAACTGACGCTGGGGTCCGGACTACACTATATGTATTTCAATCGGCAAAAACGTCCAGTAATTCGAACGCTTAAACGTTCGCGCCGGTTAATTCGAACATCCCGCGCCGCCGAGCATGCCTTCAGGAGCGGGCTAACTCACGAGGCAGCGTCTCCAATGTCTCCAGTTCCAAATAACCACGACAACCGATCACGTGGTGACCTTGGATGCTGCGATGAGCAGTGCAGTGCTCTCTTGCACGGTGACAGTGCTGTGCCGCTGCTCTTCGGCGCGTTTTCGGCGGGAGCCCGACAGTTCCGTTTCTTGCCTTGCAGTTACGCATTGCTGCGGTTCGGCGTGTTTTTGGTGGGCGCGCAACTGACATTATCTCGATTCCAAGCGTCGTGGCCAGCCGGGGCACGTACCGCCCACCAAAGGAGCTCAAGATGAAGGTAAAGATACTGTAAGAAGTTGACCAAGGCGCACTTTCCAAAACGGAAATTGTGAAGAAACACAGCATCACGAAGAGCACTCAAAGCGCCAGACACCACCCCGCGCTACTTTTCTTGCCAGGAGAATGCGGATGCCGCATTAGAGCTGGTCTCCAAACTCCAAGTGATCTTTGTTGATTCACGACTGAGGAACCGCCCACAGGAACGCATTACGGATTACTTCCCTTTGTGATCAGTGAAAATAAATGTCCTGGAACTCGTCACTCATGTGTTAGCTCAGTGCACATGCGCCGCCCAATGCAGCGCTGCACGTAAGTACTCCATTTAATGAGCTTTCGTTAATTCAAACTTTGTTTCGTTCGAACAATTTTCGGTCCCCTTCGAGTTTGAATTAACGAGATTCGACTGTACTATTACCACCGACAAGGGTGCGGATGCCCAATTCATCCAAACAAATATTATTCGACACAAGTGAGTTCTTAAGAATTTATGGCTGGTTTGTGTCCAGATAATATTTATTTTAATACTGAAGTTTGAAAAATTGCACACACAGCAAAAATTAAACTCAGAATTTCGGAGAATTAGGAATCTATTACAAATAACCTCCAATAAATACCAAATTACGAAAAAAAAACTCAGAAAAACATTTTTCTGTTTTTACGAGAAATAAACTCAGAAAACGAGGAACCCTAGTTATAACCTTAGCCAATTTATACAAAAAAACACTGAATCTGTGGAAAAAAAAAAAAACACTGAATGAAATTCTAAAAAATTCTAGTTATTACGTGTCAGTGTAGTGATGCAGACAAGTTGGTTCGTGATTACAAACTGGTAGCGGCGCGCAAAAAAATGCACAGACAAAGAGAGGAATGGATGAGTGCCTTCCCTTGTCCGTGTATCTTTTGCGTGCTGCTATCAGTCTGTAGTTATTACGTGATATGACCCGTGGGAATAACTCGGATCTACTCGGGTATGATTTGAAACAAAGCCGTCGTGTGTGCCCGAGCCTCGACACAAGGGACGACTGAAGCAAGAGTGCAAACCGTCTATAGTACTGCTGTGTTTGGTCTCAAGCTGCAAACAAGTGCAGCCCCAGACCGTCTCGACCTTTCGGCAAACCCCACATCAATTCTACATAAAGACACAGTCTACAACCCTTTTTCTTACTCTCTTTCCTAACAATCTCTCACAACTGTAGGACTTCTACATTAGCAGTCTCGATCATTAGCCTATGGGAGGGTGTGAAGACAGGCCCGCTCTATTGCAGGAGCTGAAACCAGTGGGGGAGTTGACAAGTGGTGATTTGGAGCAGCTCTTGTAGCAGGGAAAACGGCTTTTGGAGCAGAAATTTCTACTTTTGGAGCAGACGATTTGGAGCTTGCATGTCAGAAAATTTTATACAATCTCTTTCAAAGCTAGCTTGTGGAAAAAACTGCAGTTGTTAAAGTGTTGGGAGACTATTTAAAGTGTCATATTTATGGGGGATCTGGCTGCTACAAATATTTATTTATTTATTGAACAATCATACGGCAGTGATTTTGCAATGTTTTCCACATTACTGCTTTGTTCCCACATTACTGCCCCCATCAGCTAAGCACCACACAGTGTTAAAGAGCTGACTGAGGCACAGGCACATTATGCATCAAAATGTAGAGCCCTTTCACTTCACGTGAAGATAGAGGACCAGCGAAGCTGTTATCTTTACGACATCTAGGACGATGCCTGGAGGACAATGTCTAGGACGACCTCAAGGACGATGCCTTGAGGACAACGTCCAGGACAACCTCAAGGACGACATCTAGGACGACCTCAAGGACAACTTCTAGGATGACCTAGATGATGATGCCTAGAGGATAACGCCTAGGACAACCTCAGGGAAGACGTCTAGGACAGCGTCTAGGACGACCTCAAGGACGACTTCTAGGACGAACTCGAGGACAACGTCTAGGACAACCTCAAGGACGACTTCTAGGACGACCTCAGGACGACTTCTAGGACGACCTCAAGGACGACCTCGAGAACAACCTCTCGGACGACGTCTAGGACAGCCTACAGGACGACTTCTAGGACGACCTCCAGGACAACGCCTAGAGAAATTCAGCGTTTCCACTCTGGTTTTCACCAGAGTGGAAAGGCTGGAAAGGCTGCCGCCATCTATGACCGACCGCGGCAACCAGACAGCTGGCAAACTGGTTGCTGCTGTCGCTCATAGATGGTGGTAGGTGTCCGGAGTTTTGTGTCAACATTTGTTTGCTTGCAGACACAATATTGGGGAAACAAGCCCTTAACAGCTTCGCTGTAAGAATCTTATAACAGCTTCTGTATTTCTCTTTTGCCAATAATAAGATTTCAAGAATAACAAACAAAATTAACCTATTAGGAGTACCGATGACGTCTTCAATCTGTGTTTGACATAAAAATATGCTTTTCACTTTGTAAGGTTTGTATCACGCCGGTCTCGCTTGTATTCTATCTGCTACTGTTCATAGAGCAGCTAAGCAAAACAGATACAGTAGAACGTCGATAATTCTATACTTCGCAAAATTTCCAGTCGGATAATATGAGCGCTTTGCGCGTGCCTACCTGGTTAATTCGCCGATTTGGTCTGACAGGTTAAATTTTTAGTTGCTAGGTGCCGCCAGTTAGCATCCGGATTCGGCAGCAAAAATAAACATGGCGCACGTCTTTGCTGCTCTGTTTCTTGTTTGCTGGTCCGTGCGCTCAGTAGTCCATTTGTTTTTTCGAGCTTGGGCAGGCATTGGGGCAGGCTGCCACTCTCGCCTCACGTGAAGTTTATGATCAGTATCAGTGATCGGTATTCTTGTTGCTGCGCTGCTGTGGTCACTGTGCCACCGAACACTGTTGTGTGTTTGTC